TAAATGTATTAGGGATGGTTAATCAACCTGTATAACAGAATTGTCCCTTTTGCACCATCGTTTGCATGAGCGTTTCGTCTGGTAAAGGGTTTTGTCTTGTACATTTGATATAACAGTGACTTGGCTATTGTCACGCCAACGTGTCAATGTTATGTTTGATGTTGAGTCATGAATTGATCTTGGAGAGGAGCTTTCTCTACTCGATTTGATCTTATCGTACCCACGTAAAACAGTTTATTAGCTGTTATGGTTTCTAATACAGGAATAGAAGTGAAGTAGTTGTGTAGGAAAATGGTGGTATTTTGTTCTAAAAAATTTAAGCACAATTTCTCAGTTACACTTGATCCAAGTGATTTTCCTTCTATTTTGTCTCCAGCACCTGTATAAAGATCAAACTTCACGAGATATCCGTCAAAGGTACATAAACACCAGAATTTAAAGCCAAAGCGTATCGGCTTGCCTCTAATGAATTGCTTCATATGATGCCTCCCATAATAAGGTTCCATTGCCTCATCTACAGATACGAATTTCCCTAACGGAGAAATACATTTCTGTGAAATTTTGTTCAGGTGGGCGATCAAATTATAAATTTTATCACTCTTATCAATATTACTGTTATCATTTAAGTGAAAAAATTTGTGGATACTTTCAAACTTATTTCTTGACAAGGCGTTTGTAACTAAAGGATTGTTGGTGTCCATTCGGGTTTCCCAATAGCAGCGTTTAGAAGGTACCGGGGTATATCCAGACAAAAGAATAATACCCAGATACTTATAGATATATTCCGCTGTGACTGAGAAGCCATGAAATCCCTTCTGGTCTGCGTATCTTTTTGTTTCGTTACACATTGTGGTAATTATGTCTTCACTAAATTTTTGTTTAAATAAATCCACCGGCGCCATATTTCTTTCTAATATATCGGTAAGTATGCAGGAAGTGTTTTCGTTTATTAACTCAATTCTCTGGTCTCGTAGTTCAAGAGTTATTTTTTGCCAGGCTCTACTTATTTTTGTGGTACTCTTTCGAACATCAGGAATTCGTATTTTCAATCTTTTCTGCTTATTGGCCAGGATTTAATCGTCACTCTCTTCCCAGCTTTGTAGAGGAGACTGAATCCTAGTTTTCATTGGATATTTTTCTTTCTCCTTGTTAACAACAAAAACATCTGCTTTGTGAGAAAGACAACCTTTTCCCAGATCTGCAATATTAGGTACCATATCGTCATCACTGGGAGCATCATCTTGGTCGCTGCCCATGACATCGTCGGGGGGAACTAACGCAACTTCTAAGCTCTCTGCACCTTCGAACTGATCATGAACTTCATCATCCGAGTCCAGGCTGTGTAAGTAGTTCATAAGCTCCTCTAAGTTCTTAGGATCATCTGGATTATAAAACGTCTTCCTGAAAAATATATTTGAATAGTACCTACTGTAGCCCAGCGTATGATATCATCATATGTAACACAACACAAAAACTCTAAAAACGAATCGAACATTAAAATTTTTACATTTGTTAAACTATACATATTTGGAGAAACCCGTAAGGCAGAGGAATAACCAGAATTAATGTCATATTCAATCATTATTTTTATGAAAATATAGAATAACTTACCAGGTACTCATTCCGATGGTGAGTGTGACCCTAACGTTTCTATAACAGCTCACTTAGGCCCGTATCGTCAGTCGTCCCTACAATTGTAGGGCGCGTTTATGGCCTCCTTGATTGTCATACTCCTTTCTCTCCTTCAAGAATTTCTAGATTACACTTGTCCCGTGTCAGCGTCAGCGCTCTCCTATTGTCAAGATATGTTTACTTTTTAAATTGTAGGAAATTTCAGGCTGATAAAACATGATATAACTCAAAAGCAAGCACAATTTGATGCAAATAGATGTTTGTGACATAACCTTAAAATAGAGCGCTGATACGAGGAAGTAGAAAACTATGACAATCAAGGAGGCCATAAAGGCGCGCTACAATTGTAGGGACGACTGACGATACGGGCCTAAGTGTCTTAAATCAAAATAGAACTGAATTGATAAGTTGTACCGTCAAAATTGAACCCATCTACACTGAAATATCTGAACAACCGCTCGACATGTCGCTAGTACAGGAAATAGCATAACCTCAAAGGGCCACGTGTTTAACGTATGGTACATCATACGCTGGAAACTGATGGGTTAACATATCTTGTAGAATTAGACTTTTTGAAACCAGAAAAGACATTTCCGAAAGGGCTTATGTAAATACCTCTATACCGGTTACGCTATTTTCGAATAAAAAAATGATGAGATGATGGGCATAATATTGAAACGGACAAAAAACTGCAAAACGCAAACGCTTCTGCTGACCAGCACATTGGGCTTGTTTTTGGGTCAGCTGCCATTCAGGCAGATGGATAGTCAAGCCCACCATTTCGTGTAAGCCATCTTATATCCTGAAAACACGCGAGCTTAACACCGTTTTCGTATAGGGCGCTTGTTGAACATGTCTGGCAATTTCCTAAACCTACAGCCGGTTATATATTGGGTCTGTCTGCCTGAAACGTATTGTTTTTCTCGTATAGAACAGTCACTTATATTCAGTTTCTTTTTCAAAGGAAAATATGTATGTCGGGAAGTGGGTTAAGTGAATCTAAAAGGTGGCTTGGGAGTGTTTGCCACATTTTTCAACGAGTGGAATTAAACATTTCACTGTATTTGTTTTATGGAAACTATGATGGTGGTGCAGTAAATGCTAACGAGGACCGTTGCCACCAATACAGAGCTTTGGTGGTCCCAACGAGGTCTAATCAGGAAAGCTAGGAGTAGACTAACAATAAGCGCCTTATAACTCATCCGGTTTCGATGGATAGCAGAGTTCTGCCAAAGTCTAGATCACCGAGGACTTGATCTGGCACGAACACACCTCGTCAATGGAAAAAAGCTAGGCTAGTACTTTTTTCTACATAACCTCCTCATTCTGTTCAAGGCCTAGATAAGACCTAGCCTCTAGTACTGCTCAAGTAATTGGGATCCTGCGGCCCGGGTATTCTCCATGCTCGATGCTATCCAGAGGAGAGCTGTCCGACTGATCGATGACTCTTCTCTGACGGACAGTCTCGGAACCATTTCATATGGACGCCATCTAGCTATCTTCCACCGCTACGCCAATAGACCCGCATGTCTTTGGCCTCCTATCCTAACCGCTTCGAACTTCGTACATCCAGAACTGGTCGATTCTCGCTCCTTTGTCCTTATGGTATTGAGAGTTCTACTAACCTTAGGCAGTTCAAAAATCGGATTCTTTAAGGTCCTTATAGCAGTCGCGGTGTCCAGGTATTTAGGCTTCGGTATAAGGAAAGACGGCGCTAGTTAGTTTGAACGTCATGTCTATGGTGATAGTCAGTCAAAGGCGATGCTTACACCGCGGGCTGCTAACCAGGTCTGTGCTGTTACGCGTTAAGGCGAGAATACACATGCTTGTTACACGCACAGAAGCATGCCAGTTACTGGATTGTGCGTGCTACTTGCATGTGTGACTTTCTTTGCCAGCAAGAAAGCACGCTAGAAGATAGCACGCCAGTAGATCGCAAGACGTTTGATTTTTGTGTGCCAGTAGCAGGATTTCGTCGAGGGAATGGAGGGGAGGAAACCTGCGAGTCATGTTCAAAGGTGTGTGAACGACATGGTTACCAGAAACTCGCATGTGAAAAACGGATTCTTGAACTATAGAACTATTTGTTCAGTTCCGGGCAAAATGGCTCGTTGGGGAGACGAAAAGACTTTATTGTTTGTTATGCAGTATAGGGAGTATCCGTGTTTATGGAATACATGATCTCCATTGTATAAAAATAAAATCGCCAGAGACAATGCTTACAAGTCTTTATTGAAGCAGAAGACTGATAACAATTTAACATTGAAATTTATGAAAAATAAGTTAAAAAACCTAAGAACAACCTACCACCAAGAGTTAAAGAAGATAAAGGAAAGTTTTCACAGACTGGCATATCCAAAACTAGCATGTGTATTTTGGGATGTCGTAGGACAAGTAGTTAGCATACAAGTTACGGGCCACTGGCATGCTATTTTACTGGCATGTGTATTCTCGCCTTTTAAGTCCACTCTGTGCTAGGAGCTGGCACAACGCTAGTTCATTTGAACAACGTTGAAAAAAGGCTTAGGGCTTAGTGGTCACGGTATAAGCATGGTCATTGATGCTGCTTAGCGCACATCTTAAATGGTATGGTGCTGTGCCATCTCTTGGGATGATTCTAACCCCTCTGAAAAGCAAGGTTCTGTAAACATACGAGGTTTGTTCAAGAAGAATTGCAAATTTTGAATTTTACCGGGCTACGTATGTTCGATTTTCTTTCCTTTTATGGCGTTATGTTGGTACTCATGACCCTCACTAATGTTGACATTTTGAATGTTCAGTCAGTTTTTGACAGCTATTGTGCGTGGACGTGTTTTGGCTTGTCTCCGATTTTTGTCTATGGGGCCGTTCAAGTATTGTAAGCAGATTTATTACAATTATTTACCCCCCCTATCCCCCTTGTCAGCAAAAGTGAGCAAAGCTCTTACCCCCTCCCCCCATGCTTACGTAAACATTTGTCAATTAATGTATTGTTTTTTTAATGTTATAATTATAACGTTATAATTATAATTTGAAAAATAAGAAAATAGATTTACGATAGAGATTGTATTTTACTGATACGGTATTCAACATAGAGTAAAGGACAAAAATATTATATCTTACTAACATAACAAACTTATTTTAAATTCATGGTACATATAATAAATTCCAATTAGGTCTTCAGTCCATGAAACCCGAATCCATGATTCTAAGTTTTCGATGACATTGGATTGCTTCGATTGCTGCTCAGTGTTGTGAGTTTGCTCGCTTTCATCGGATTTTGGACTGGTGCTCTAAATTTTGAATAATGCACATCAGTTCATTAGCATGACAAGCAGCGACTCTTACAGGTGTAACTTTCCTATCAGTGTGCGCATTTACTTTTTTATGGATATTTTCGATGTGACGATTTAGTGACTTGACGGAAGCATGATAAAGACCACACGTTTTGCATGTTCGACTTGACGCCTCAATTTTACCGTTCGACAAAAATAATCGTAGGGCATTTGCAGGAAATCTTTGAGTGAAGCACTTAAGCGTAGAGCTAAATTGACTGGAAGATTAAGAAATTGCCCTCCTTCATCCAAAACTAAGTCAGCAACTGTTTGTTTTACTTTTACAGGTGGCGGAAGAAACCTATTATCTAGTAATCTAAATAGGCCACTTCTTGGACGACAGCATTCTGTATTTCTACATTTTACAATTTGAAGCAAGTATTGGCTCTCACGCACATGTTCTGAATACCATTTAATGTGTGGAAAATCAGAAAGATCTTGTTCACCTGCCCCAACATATTTTGCACTAACATTATAGCCATCAATTTCCATACTTCAGCTAATACATTTCCTGCAAATTCGAAATTAGATCTTTCTAAATGTTCATCAATTGTAACGCCACGTTCATCCAAATGAGACCCAAAATGGTCATGAGGCAATAATAAACCAGCCAGTTCCCGGCTAAGAGGAGCCATTCTGCGCTCTACTCTGTTATACGCACTTCTTCCAGGAGCATTGGTAGCTAAAAACAATTCATCGAGATCATGTCGCTTAAAGTGTTGTATAGCAAACCCTATGACTTTTTGATAACGTGGATTTTTATCTGGCCCTCCACCAACCGTCATGATTACCACTGGTTTTACTAGTCCATGGTCAGTTTTAGGTAATGGTCGAAACTCTTCAAGTACGAGAAGCGTCTCGAAATCCTGAGCATAAGTATGCCTTCCACTTCGAATAGCGGTTGGTCCAGAATATCGAACGGCTTGTGGTTGTCCTAGCATACTGGAAGTGATTTTGTTACCAGCATAAACAGATGGTATTAATTTATGACGCTCAGCGATTACCCAATCGTGATCAGGCAATTTGATTCTATATTCCATGTGCATTAGAAGAGGTGCTTGCTTATTTGCCGCAGTTACGCCAATAGGGACTCGAGCTTTATCATCTTAAGATGTGAAAAATACTTGATTTGGTCCAAGTATGGATGCTATGTTCTCTAGATAATGGATTGATGTTTCAGTGAACTTGCTATCTAAGTGGCTCTTGTGGTGATCAGTTTGGGCCCAAATGAGCTTAACATGGACTGTCGATACACGTCTTCGTCCCTCTGCAGAATTAGATTTTCTGCGAATCGGACAAAGATATGTCCCACTGCGACTAATGTCAAATTCTATTTTATGTAATTCTTGTGTCAATCAAGAGTTTTTACGCTGCGAATTGATTCCGGTCGTCTTCTATCATCTGCTGCACTTCCAAATAAAGCTATATCCGCGATTGTTTTCAATAGTGAATGTCGATTGCTTTCAGGATTAGGACGTCCCACTGAATCCCTCAGAGACAGTCTTTTTTTTATTTCTGGATTTTCATGACAAATATCTTCTAACTTTCTTTTCATACCATCCCTGTGTTTCATCTGGGCAACTGCGTTTTGAACCTTCCTGTTTAAAGACTGTTTTGCTGTTTTTATTTCCTCGCGCAACTTAATGATCTGTTTATCAACTTCAGCATGGCTTGGCATAGTGTCTGTGCCAGAATACAAACAACTCGAATTTTTTTCGAGTAGAGCAATCTTATTTTTCATAGCTTCCTGAGAAGGTTTTGCTCTCTGTTTATCTGTATTTTCATTAATTTCGCATTGCTGTTGTGATTCATTACCGGGTTTTATTTTATCTTCTTCCTCTTTTTTAATATTTGAAGCTGACTGTAGGTATAACTTGTGTTTTTTCTGCAGGTTTACAGGTTGCCTAAAAACAAAAACTTTCTATGGCTTCTGCTAAAGATTGTCTTATTAAGCTACATAAATACAAAGTATGGTAATATATATGGGAAATTCAAAACCCTATGACTTTAAATCTAATATTTTTAAACGAACAATTCGTTCCGGTCACAAAATACAAGGTGTTAGTTTTCTGTATATATGTATAAAACTAACATCCTGTACTTTGTGACCTATTGACGGAATCAATCATAAGAAATAAATCTATAATATAATGAATATTACCTCTATACTTTGAGATAGGCCATAATATTTTCTAATCAGTAAAGAGAAACTTTTTGGCGATTCATAATATTTCTAGTACTCATAGGTACCTAAAATGATTTCGTCACTCACCTTAGAAAAAAAATTTAGTAGATTGGATTTATTCTTAGTCACCGCTTTCAATTCTTCTTCGATTCTCTTAGTTACAATAATATCTAGTTCCTTGTCGGATTTTGCTTGTAATTTGTAATTTCGCCACACTTCGTTAACTAACTTTTGTACATTTTTTACTTTCGTACTTGTATGAGATTTTTTAAAACTTTCAAACAATTTTTGGTATAACTTGGATTTGTCTATGTGAAACGACATCTTATTTAAACATTAAACTTTGGCTAATGGCACCAATGGTAACACAAATGTTAACTTGCTTTACTATGCTTACAATACGTCTACTCGCTATAGTATCCAAACGAAACAATACACTGATAGAGGAAATTTAGACAAGTGAACGCCGCGCGGTAATTCCCCTACTCGGTTCTAAAGCGAGTAGGGGAATTACCGCGCGCTGTTCACTAAACGCATGCATTATTTTCGGGAATCCCCGAAAATGCGTTTCGTTTTCAAGCAAATACAATGTGAGGGTTGCCATTCGTGTTAAAAGGTAAATAACGACCGATGACGTAATCATCATCTAGACTCCCCTACCCCCCATGCCATCCAAAATAAGCAAAGCAAAGAACCTCCGCCCCCCCATAGTGCTATTGTAATACATGTAATTCCAAAAAATGGATCAAAGAATTTGTATTAAATTTTGTGTAAAAAAAAACTTGAAGTGTGCGGACATATTCCAAATATTGACTGTTGCATACGGCGAAGCGACTTTGGACAAAAGCAACGTTTATCGGGGGTACAAGATGTTCTCAGAGGGTCGAGAAGCTGTGAGCGACGAAAAGAGTTACGTTAATAAGGAATATTACCTTCAAGTAATGCGCAACTTGCGAGAAGCAATCCGCCAGAAACGCCCGGATTTGTGGAAGAACAAAAATTGGCTTTTGCACTATGATAACGCCCCTGCTCATGCTTCGTTACTTGTGCGCGAATTTTTGGCCAAAAACAACACTAAATAGTGCTTCACCCACCGTATTCACCAGACGTGGCCCTCTGAGACTTTTTCTTGTTCCCGAAACTGAAGAGGCCCATGAAAGCTAAACAAGAACACAAAAAATGATTTTTCGAGGATTGGAAAAAACGTTATCACAAGTGTATAATGTCTGATGGGGATTACTTTGAAGGACACAAAATAGTTATTCATGAATAAATAAATAATTCTTGATACTTTTTGAACAAACCTCGATGAATTATCTTGAAAAATAGGTAACCTTTCTATCAAATACGTCTTTTTCTCATCTACAGTTTAACCTCGACCACAAAGGATGGGCATCACTGCAACTGGATAATTCGACCTTAACCCTTCGATTTCCAAGGTCCGCTAGAGGGCACCATTATCCAATTGCCCGATTGTTCTCACCACCTCACTGAGATGAAGAAAGACATCGATTTGCAGAAAAAATTTATACAACATCCTCAGGCTGGTAGAAATGTGCTTTGAAGCTATTCTCTTGACCGCAATTCGCTTACCATGGAAACGAAAAGGAAAGTTTCGTATTATCGATTATAACATTCGTATTCTCAGTGTATTCTCGTTCAAATAACACTAATAAACACAGGACTTGTGACATGACAATTTTTGGGTGTACCTTATGTATTTTCCTTAAATCAAATCTGAAAACAGAATTTTTCTATCGCCCAGAGATATTCGGTAACATCTACTTTTATGAATTGCAATTCGTAGCATTTCATATTGCTGCATTTCTCGGCGTTTATGCGATGACGCACATATATAATGTTAAGACCTGTCTATTCTTGTTTATTATATGCGAGCTCTACGTTTAGAGAACATATTTCGTTTATTAGTAGACTAAAAGCAGCCGAGTCTATTACGTTTTCTGTGTTGAAGAGTACCGAGTTGTTCTGAGTACTGTTAATTTTTGTTAAAACGGTGTGTTGTTTTTAGTTTATTGTGATCGAGACTAGCTTTATGGACAATGCCTAGAAATTGTGTAAATAGTGCGAACAGTTTATGTTATGTATGCGGAGAGCTAACTTTTAAATCCCAAAAACGTACTTTTACTCCCCTTGTGTTGAAAGCATACGAACTTTATTTTGGAGTTAAAGTTACCGACCAAGATAAACTATGGGCCCCTCATATATGTATGTTGTGAGACTTGTGTAACGTTGTTAACAGGTTGGTTAAGAGGCGACAATCGTAAAGTACCCTTTGCGGTACCAATGGTTTGGAGACAACCGCGAGACCATACTACTGATTGCTATTTTTACCTCACAAATGTCAAAGGTACTGGACCAAAATCGAAATATACTGTTAAGTATTTTAATTTACCAACAGCTTTGCGGCACGTTGAGCATAGTGATGAACTTTCTGTCTCAGTTGCACCAGAATTTTGGTCTTTAGATGAAAAAGTCGAATCCACCGATTCTAAAAGTGATGGTACAGAAAGCTTAAACATTTCCGATCCTTCGTTTGACCTTCCAGGGTGTTCAACAGCGCCGCATTTGATCACATAGGGCGAACTTAATGACTTAGTTCGATAATTAAATCTATTCCCAGTCAAGATTAAAAGGATGTAATCTCCTCCACGGTGATGTTAACATTACTTTTTTACCGAAAACGGCAACAGGACCTCACACACTGTTTCCGTCAAGAAAGGAAGTTGATAAATCGCTCCGATGCCAACAATTTGTTTGACGCGTTAGGACAGAAACATGATCCAAATGATTGGCGCATGTTCATTGATTCCTCTAAGCTTAGTTTATAAGCGGTATTGGTACATAACGGTAATAAATATCCATCTGTATCTATAGCGCACGCAGTTCATATGAAGGAATCATATGAAAATATGCAAGTTCTGTTAGAGCATATATAATGAATATGTGCAGATTTAAAGGTATGGAATGCAGCTGGGATATACCAAATATAGGGTGTCCGCAAAGTTGGGGTTTTCCTTTACAGGACGTGTAGATCTTGAAAACATAAGCAATTTTTCTTAGTACCATATACACCAATGTCTTAAAAGAACCGAGATAAAGGGCTCTGCAACATCAAAAATATCTGAATACCGTCCTGTAGCCGCGACCCGCGACATCACCGAGTGGTACAAGGTCACTGGCTCAACCCGACGACAGAACTGGGTCGGGGTCAGT